GTTTGGCAATTTATACTTATCGCTCAACTTTATCTGTTTATCCCTATATAATTTATCAAATATAAGGTCAGCCTTGGTTACATCGAATGAGAACGTTCTAGCCTTTATGTTTCCATCTTTCATGGGCTCATCCTTACCCGATGGTCTAGGCTTAGCTATTATAGGACAAGTATATGTGTCTCCTTTGACCAATTTGGCAAAACATATTTCGGGTTGATCGTATGACTCGTCGCTGATGGTATGAACGTCAAAGTTTGGGTCTTTGTAATAAGTCCCTTTACTAGAATTTTTCATCTGCACTTCTTCTCTTATCAGTCGTTCATACCTAATCACATTCGCACTCAACTAGAAAAGGTCAGAAAATTCCTTGTCTTGGAATTTCTTTTTTAAATCAAAGCTCAAGCAACCCTGAGCAATTTTAACAAATTCTTTTTTCTGGCAGAGGTACAAAACACTTGCTTCTTGCTGTCTTGAACCTTTGGAGAAAATTTTCTGCCCATTCGTTTAGCATTTGACGTAGATTCGCCAAATCAGCCAAAGTAACTTCAAACTCAGTTTTATAAAACTGAGCGTGGAATAATTGTTCCAATTGTTGCCATGTTTGAACAGAGTTCGCTGGCAAGTTGATGAAATAGGAGAAAGCTACTCCTGTTAATGAACTAGGGAAAATCCTCATTTTATGGTAATCAGTTACATCACCACTTTGCAATGTGAATCGCCCTATGTGTTCTAAAGTAGACACCTCCCCTAAATCGGTAAACAGTGAGAATTCTGGCACTTTATACCCTCTAGGTTGTGGATATGCTTGGTCTACCCAATCAGGATATAACTTTGTGTAAGTCGGCCTAATGACAGAACGCACCCCAAAAGCCATCTGATCCTGTACAATTTCCATAATCTGATTTCTCAACATGACGTTGGGGTCATATAGAATTCCTACAGATTGGTTAACCGGCTGATTTGCATGAGGCCTGATGTTTGGTCCTTGATTAGCAACAAAGTTACCATAATTTGGGCCATTACCATTAGCCTGAACATCTATTCCCTCATTAACATGTGAGGTATTCTATCAATTGTTTAGGACATTATTTCTTACATTTGGATTACCTCCCAAGTTAGGCGTACCACTACCATTGTTCTGATTTGGCACTGCATTACCCCCTTGGTCTGAAGTAGAGGGACCAGAAAGTGGTTCTATCCCTTGATTCGGATTTAGGACTAAGGGATTATGCCCCACAATTGTCCTAGTTTGAAAGTGGTTTGCAAAAGGCAGAATCGGTTGACATATCTGGCCTACTAACTTATTCATTATTTCGTTCAAAGTGTTTAGTTGTTTGGCCATGTTGTTATAATGTGTATTCCCATTTTGGGTAAATCTTTCCATATTATAAATATTTCGAAGATTTACTTGTTCAACAACATCTTGTGTGAGTTCTCCAAGTAGTGCACGCATAGTTCGAGGACTCAACTCTGTCATTGGTTCGTAACGACTATTACTGCTTTGATTCTGTCCATTTGTTCGTGGAGAGGCATGCTGCTCCTCATATCGCTTAATCACAGACTGGACTCCTCCTTGACTTGCTGCTTCCTTATCGGATCTCTGAGGCATATTATTTCACCTTTTGTATTTTCAACACCAAGCACCACTGTCCCACTGGGCGTGCCAAATTGTTTCGCGTGGGCTCGTCGCTAACAATTAAAAAGGATCAGACGATCGTGTAAAGGACAAACCTCTTGAGACAAAGTCCCAAAAAGGGGTGTTCTTTATTGGCTATGTCTTTACAATCGGAAAGTAAAAACAGAATGCCTCCAAGGGGCGCAAGCACACGAGTTACTGAAAGAAGTGTTTAAATCTAAACTAAGAAATTTAAAATTACACGTTCGCTGTTCGAGAGTTTTTTGATTCGAGATCTTTTTGCTCTATGTCTTTTCTTCCTTTTATACTCCCTGGATGATTTCTTTGTGATCAACCACCTAAAAACTGCTTGATCGTTCTATAACTGCCCACTTTCCTCGTAATGGCCAACTTGTCATGGAACTGCCTTTCTTAACTGCTGCCATTACTCTTTGTCGTTCAACCGTTTTCGATTGAATTCCTTGAATCGTGGAACGTGATAGGGCTGCTTAATAATTGCTTGGATAATTGCGCTTCTTGATAACCATAACACTTCATGTTTGCTAAGACTTTGGGCGACTCGAAAGTTTGGACGAGAATAGAGTACCAGCTCTGGGCGACTGCATGGCATTCCATTCGCTCAGATCTTGGGCGATTTGCAAGTTTGGGCGATGGTGTTACCGCGTTCACGGGCCTCCCTATTTGGGCCTTCATCCTGAATTGTCTGATTGGGTTTCATTCTTTGGGCTATCTGATTTGGGAATCTTCCAATTGGGCTTCATTCCTTTGATCGTTCGATTTGGGCTGAATTTTTATGTGTCAACAACATCAAGGATGAAATGTAAATAAATTTCATTTTTATACCCAAGTTGGTGCTTGGATAGTTTCATTAGATAATTTTGATCAGTTTAATCAGATTAAAGATATTTAAATTTTGTAAAATTTAATACATGTGATTGTACTCCACGAACAACATTCAAAGAGTAATATTATTTGTACATAGTCAGTTACGTTATATTTACATACAAATGAAAAAAAAAAAAAAAGAGACAAGAAGTTTTTATATTTGGCGAATAAAATCTAATCTAATCATATATCATCATATCACGTATATGTAAACCTATTATGCCCCGTTTGGTAGCAATTTTTCACCTAAAAAAATCAAATTTTTTTATTGTTATTTCATTATTTCAACCATCATTTTTTACTTCTTCATTCACATGTGGAATCCACTTTTCTCTCTAACGATCAAAAAATCAATTCTCATAATCACTACTGAAACAGGGTCATAATGTACATGTAGCACAATCGATATTGAAAATTCCATTAGATCATAATTATATTTTTATGGATGACTTTCGATTATTATATTGGCACCAAGGGTACTAAAACTTTGTTCATCATAATACTTGTGTTCCTAACTTTTTCACAGAATTATTTAATCAATCTTTTATTAATTAGCATGTCCGTTTTCGATTATTGTTTTCTGTCAAAAAATATATCTATGTGCTCTATATGAGAAAAATATGTTTTGTCGCACTTTTATATTAATTTTCTTTCTTAAGAAATGTGAAAGAAAAATTCGTCCTACTTTCTCGCAATGAATGTTTTGAAGCTAAGATTGAAAGAATTATTTGTTATGCACATTTCAGATAAGTTAATTGAACAAATGTCAAAACTTATAGCATGTTTTAACCCCATTATAATCTAAAAATATATTTCGGAATAATAAATTAGTAGAGAATGTGTGATTAAAAAATAAAGAAAAACTTTGATTTTGGGTGTGATATTATTTTATTGAAAAATGTAAAATTGAAAATAAGAGGAAAAAAATATATTTTAAAAATAATGAAAATCAATCACGTCTTAAGGTCCCGTTTGGTATCCATTTTTTTTTCAAATGCATTTTTCTCTCTCTTATTTTCAACCACATATTTTTTATTAAAATAATATTATACTTAAATAAAAAAAAATTTCTTATTTTTTAACCATATATTTTCCATCAATTTACTATTCAAAAATATATTTTTACCTAAAAATATCCTCCAAACACTCTCTAATATGACAAAATGTAACTTTGAAAGGGACAAAATGTACATTATTATACTCTACAAATAATATTCGATGGAATAATGCTGTCAACGAGTTAATTGTTCTAATGATTACTGAACTTAGATCCCATGTCTTTGATTGGCCACTGAAGTTTAAAATGTCGAGTTTTGATCACTGAACCTAGGTCTATATTTTCGATTGTTCACTAAAATTTAAAATATCGAGTTTTAGCCATTGAATTTTGAAAAATGTCCAGTTTTGAACACTAAATTTAGGTCTATATTTTCGATTGCTCACCGAAATTTAAAATATTGAGTTTTGACTACTGAACTTTGTAAAATGTTGTACATTACTCATTGAATTTTAAAAAATATTGTACATTACTCACTGAACTTTAAAAAATATTGTACATTATTTAGTGTAAACTCGATATTTTTCAAAGACTCAATGTTCAACAGTTATACTAGTGAGTAACGTACGACATATTTCAAAGTTCAGTTGTTAAAACTGACATTTTAAATTTCAATGAGCAATCTAAGATATGAACGTAAGCTCAGTGAGCAATTGAAAATATTGACCTAAATTCAGTAATCAAAACTGAACATTTTAAAATTTCAATAACCAATCAAAGAAATGAATCAGTGAGCAATCGAAAATATTACCTAAATTCAGTAATTCAAACTCGATATTTTAACTTACAACGCCAATAAAAAGAAATAGGACTAGGTTTAGTGACCATTGGATAATTATCTCGCTGTCAACAAATATATATTTTCTTCCGGAAGCTTCAAGCAATACCAATATCGATCACTGAACCTAGGTCTATATTTTCGATTGTTCACTAAAATTTAAAATATCGAGTTTTAGCCATTGAATTTTGAAAAATGTCGAGTTTTGAACACTAAATTTAGGTCTATGTTTTCGATTGCTCACCGAAATTTAAAATATTGAGTTTTGACTACTGAACTTTGTAAAATGTTGTACATTACTCATTGAATTTTAAAAAATATTGTACATTATTTAGTGTAAACTCGATATTTTTCAAAGACTCAATGTTCAACAGTTATACTAGTGAGTAACGTACGACATATTTCAAAGTTCAGTTGTTAAAACTGACATTTTAAATTTCAATGAGCAATCTAAGATATGAACGTAAGTTCAGTGAGCAATCGAAAATATTGACCTAAATTCAGTAATCAAAACTCAACATTTTAAAATTTCAATAACCAATCAAAGATATGAATCAGTGAGCAATCGAAAATATGACCTAAATTCAGTAATTCAAACTCGATATTTTAACTTACAACGCCAATAAAAAGAAATAGGACTAGGTTTAGTGACCATTGGATAATTATCTCGCTGTCAACAAATATATATTTTCTTCCGGAAGCTTCAAGCAATACCAATATAAATACGATCGGCAGACAAGAGCCATGGCTTCTCTCCTCAACCGATCAATTCAATTGGTACTGTTCTCAGTTCTTTCAATCGGATTGTTTTGTATTGGAGAAATCAACGCTGATTGGAATGTAGAAGCAGTACTGGGAGGAGGAGGAGGTGACCTTAAGAAGAGAGAATTTGATTACTTTAAGCTGTCTCTGCAATGGCCGGGCACTGTCTGTCGCCACACTAAGCATTGCTGTTCCTCCAATGGTTGTTGCCGAGGGTAATTTTGATTTTTTATTCTTCTGGAAATTTGGCATGCTACGTGATTTGTTGCCTTGGGATCTAATTTTTATGATTTTTTTTTTTAAAAGAATTAATGAAATGATCCGTGGAATAGCTGATGCGCTAAGACGATTTATGTGATCAAAGTTCCTTTTTTTTTCTTTGTGTGTTGGGGGGGGGGTGCGTGTGTGGTTTTATTTTTATGACAAATTATGCTTTTCGATTCGCTAATTAGCCAAGAATTTATGATCACCTTGACATGGTCAATGACAAAAATTTCTCACCCTGAATTGGCCTCTCGTTTAAGCATATCAATACAAGAGTGTTGTAATTTAAGTTCCTTGTGATTTTCCTTGTCTTTTCAGGAGTTGGAAGTACTTTCATTGTAAATTTACTTACTGAATAGGAATAGCTGATGGGCTAAGACGATTTATGTGATCAAAGTTCCTTTTTTTTATTTGTGTGTTGGGGGGGGGTGCGTGTGTGGTTTTATTTTTATGACAAATTAAGCTTTTAGATTCGCAAATAAGCAAAGAATTTATGATCACCTTGACATGGTCAATGACAAAAATTTCTCACCCTGAATTGGCCTCTCGTTTAAGCATATCAATACAAGAGTGTTGTAATTTAAGTTCCTCGTGAGTTTCCTTGCCTTTCAAGGAGTTGGAAGTACTTTCATTGTAAATTTACTTATTGATTTTCAACCTTTTGACAGAAAAAATTCTGGCTAAAATGGTCTACTGACTTTTTCCTTAATCATTTGGGCTCCTGTGAAGAAATTGTGCATCATTTCTGTTTATAGTGAATAGGAATTTTATGTTTAAAAGGTGGGATTTGGTTCTTAGTCAATCACGTGACATTATGTCTCAGTGTTTGGTGCTATTTTGAAATGTTCTAGAAGATTTTTCAATCAAGACCCTTACCACATCCAGATGATTAGCACAGTTCGAGCAATTCCAATAACCAATGCATCATCTGTAAGCTGATGGAGGGTTGTCCTTAAAATTATGAAACTTACAGTAAATATAGTAAGGCGCAGTTAAATCTTGCTATGGTGCATTTTAGAGGCACAGGGTTAATCAACTCATGACGAATCTATATTCAGGACCGTTGTCTGAGCAACTGACATGTCAAAATATTATTAGAGACAAAACATATGTCACGACTTTTCAATTTCCAACTGGGTTTTATCCGAACGTTTCTCTTGGGATTCGTAAGAATGACAGGGAAACTTACTTTTGGTTCTTTATGATTTTGATGCAGTTCAAATGCGCCGGTTGAATTTACAATCCGTAAGTTCATTATATAAAATTTTTTGACATATGAAAATCAGTCCAGCATTGTAAATTTTCTGGTTATTTCCAACTTAACTGTTTGAATGTCTCTGTCTTTTGCACTTTCTCGACAGATGGACTCTGGCCTGACTACAATGATGGTACTTGGCCTTCATGTTGTTCTGGTCACAGATTTAATGTGAAAGAGGTATTTTACTCTTGCAGTCTACTGCTTTAGATTTTAGAACCCTTTTTTATATTCTCAGTGTTATATCTGGACGACTGTTAAAAATTGTTGTTGAGCTTCGAACGTATCACTATATCCAATGTGCAAATAATGTCCAATAGATTAGGAGTTTTGCATAGAGAAGACTCACTTGGGTGGATCACTATTAAATACGTCTGCAAGATTATGAGGGCAACACTTTGTTTTTATAAGGATTCAGGAATTTGTGTACATTGATCTATTAGAAAAATACTGTTGTATATATTAAGACTATTTTGAGTTACATTGAAATGATTTATGGATTCTTGTACGAAGTGGAATGCACAAAACCCTGGCAAAGAAATTTGGTCCTGTGTAAATTCATTAGTTTAGTTAGATGGAATATCAGCGAGATGTCACAAGTTTAGATTCTTATTCAGTTATTATGGTGCTTTATCACTATATTCGAAAGAATTATGTTTCTCTTCTTTCTAAGCCATTTATTTATTACATTTCGTATTAATATTCAACATTTGTTTAACTAAACTCAGTTCTCTTGTTCAGACAAGAAAAGTACTTTCTAAGCCTATGGTTATTTCTAAGCAGATACTGTTGGTTTGTTTGTTTTATTCTATCCAATACCAAATTACTGACTGCAGATCTGGACATTGCTCGATGCCCTGAACAAGTACTGGCCATCCTTCAGTTGTAGTTCTGTATCAGACTGCCATGGTAGAAAAGGATTATTCTGGGGACATGAGGTAGTTTTTAATAGCTGTTAGTTCAATAGATTTGATGATTTTAATACTTGGAAACTAATTGTTTGCTCCCTTTCTTTATTTCTTATCGCCTTATCAAATCTGGGGGATGACCTGAGACAGTGGGGTAATCATCTTTGCTTTATGTGAAGTCTTTTATAGTTTTATCCTTTCAGTCTATGATCTGCTCAATAAAGCTTATTATTTATATATCTCTAGTTTAATTGAAAATAATGTGCTGTATGCATTGGATTTATAAAATTGATTCTCTGTACTTCCTTCAATATCGATAATAATCTAAAGTTGCTGGTTTTCTAGATGATTAATATTGATATTCCGGAATGTTATATTGTTTTACTATATCTCTCTCCCCTCTGCATCTCCTTCAACCCAAAATCCCTTTGAGAAGAGAGAAAGGTAAAAGGACTATATTTAGCCCCCGTTTGAGCCACATTATTGTAAAAATGAGAATGAAAAATATAGTCGTTATGGACCCACACAAGAGATAAAAAGTCAAATATGGTGACTTGATGTAATGGATAATGGTCATATTTTTCATTTTAATGAGGGAATAAAGGGGCTCAAATAGGGCCTAAGGTGGAATCTGAACTTATGAATAAAGTTAATTTATGTTGTGGAGTGGAATGTTTTACCGCCTCTTTATTTCTACGACGTGATCTGCATATAAAGCAGTATGACTTGCTACCTTTATGCATTTAACTGGGTCTTCTATCTTGTAGCATGAGGCTTCAATGGATGTCATGCTTGGATATATGATAATGCACGTATATATACTATATGGATTTGGATTCTAGCCATCCTGGCCTTAAAATTGCATCACCCCTCCCTTCTCTTTTTATTGAATTAGCGTTTAAAGCTACAATAGGCTGATATTAATTTTTTCCGCTCATAAGTTGTTCTGTCTCAAGGATTGATTCTATGGAACACGTGTGGCTGTTTTGATTATTCATACAGATATTTCAGAAATTGAAATGAGAACACTTCATCGCTTGAAAAGAATCTAATTCATAATTTCTAATTTTTGATTCCTCCCTGTGCAGAAAAACATGGAACTTGTTCCTCTTCAGTGACTTACGATGAATATAACTATTTCTTGACGACCCTTAATCTCTATTTCAAATATAATGTTACGGTAAGATTGCATTTTATATTTGATTGAGCTGATAGAAGAGAAATATTGAACTTACTGTCTAGCTTCTATGCTTTCCCCCCTTGCATATTTCATTTCTGTTTCTTAAATGGTTGTAGTTGCCTCGTGTAGGCATCTCAAGCCGTTACACGTTGTTTTGATACGAGTGTCAAATGCATTATTTGGCTCGGTCCTAATGGAAGTTATGTTATGACTTTCATTTTCAGAAAAGAAATATGTATTTTTTTGGTGCCATAATTACTGAACTTCCCATGCATTTCATTTTCAAATATATTTAATGGTTTATGGCTTTAAGCTGATTTTGAAAATGCTCTTGGTTCTGTACACCAATTTTATGTCCTTGGAACTTGTTCAACTTGTGATAAAGCTCCCGGTCAAACTGCTCAGTGCTTGGCCACCAAAAAGAGGGGAATATGGTGGCTGCAGGCACTGTGATGCTCAAGTCAAGTGGTGTTTTGCTGTGCATAAGAAGTAATTTGTCAGAGTTTTGGTAGAGGATTAATTTTCGCTCTCCTTTTCATCTTGCCTTGGCCTAATATTTGTTGAGGATGTGAGAATGGGGTGAAGGAGGGAGACAATGCCTATGCTGTGACAGTAGGGGCCATAGCCCTGTCAAGTCACCACTTTGGGATTGGTATGCCCATGCTGGAGTTGGTAGGCTTTGAGAAGAATTCAACTTCTGACTGTCATGCAGGCGAGGCCGACGTCTGACATAGGGCCGTGGAGTGGCCCTGCTGGTTTCTCACTCCGGTGAAGTCATCAGCTCGGCGAAAATGTTGTTGGCCTCACGTGATCAAGGAAGTTGTAGTTATGGTTGAGTCAGCATCGTGAGTCAAAAATTGGGCATATGAGCCACTTAATTCTATTTATACAATGTTATGATTGCAATTTAGAGTTATTCATAGGAACGGATTGAAATTTGAATGTCAAAATTAGATCTTTGCTTGAATTAATTAATATGTTCGCAATTAATTCTTCACAGGAAGATTTTTCCTAATTCATTATGAGATATCTACATGAAAAATTATTGCATAACATTTAACATGTCCTCTGACTGAGGCTTCTAAAAGTTAGTGTTACTTTCTTAAACTAATTACACTATATATTGGAAATTTGATACATTTTATTGCCTTCTTGTCATTATGAAATTTGCATAGTTAATACACAGAGTCCTCATTTCTTTTTATTATGAAATTTGATACATTTTATTGCCTCCTTGTCATTATGAAATTTGCATAGTTAATACACCGAGTCCTCATTTCTTTTATTATCATAATGTTATCCTTCAGGGGATATGTTGCTAGTTATAAACTTTTCTACGTCTCATCCTTTCTAAAGGGCCAATAGGATCAATTGACCTCATGGGTTTGGACTTAGCTCCAGCTACACTTTGATATATCTGTGTATGTCGAGATTGGAGTATGCTGCACAATCTAAATAAGAGAGGACTGTGATAGTGTTACTGATATATGTTGCCCCTGGATAGAGTATCTTCAATTCCTTAAAACCATTGATGGTATGAAAAGCAATTAAGTGCTTACTGCCGGTCACCTATTTTATTTTAACTCTGGTGAGTTGCGTTCTGATGTCTTTATGCATGAACTGGCATGATAAGACCTTTTTGCCTTACCTACTGAGTCGACAGGTACTTGGCAAAATTAAGGTCATTTGGCAATGCATAGTTCAGAATGCTAATTTTAACATAAGAGAAGAATCGAGGAATGGAAATTGTTTCAGGGATTTTTGAGACCATTAATACAGGTTTGCTAAAATAACCGTTAGCCAAGAATATTGTCTTGTGGAAAGGACATGGGAAGATACTTTTAAATGAGAAATCCTACGGAAGTTGGCAGGGAGGGTTGTTGGCATCTTTCTGTTGTATGAACAATATGAGGTTGGCAACTTTGAAAGGGGACTTTGCAATGCAATACTATTTCTGGTTATGATGACACTGAAGATATTGGTTTCCCAAGGATTTGTCTTGATATACGGCAAACATATGTAAAACCCCATATTTACCTGAGACATTGGCTGATGTCACAGTATATATTTTTCTGTTTTTTCATCTCTGATGAGTATTATTAGTCTCTTAGGTTAATCAAAAAAGAATCTTGTATTTTTGATATTTAATCAGAATTCGATGTTCTTTTCCTGACCTCTCGGGTTGATCTAATGGATTTAACATTATGCAGGAAGTTCTGCGAGAAGAAGGATATGTAGCATCAAATACTGAAAAGTATCCTGTAGGAGGCATTATTTCCGCCATCCAGAATGCTTTCCATGCAACTCCAGAAATTCAATGCAAAGGGGATGCTGTGGAGGAACTTCGGTTATGCTTCTACAAGGATTTCGAGGTCAGATCCATCTCTTTTGGTATTTATGTGAAGTTAATGTTCCATCTATTTTTACATTTCCAAAAACTAACAAGTAGAAATTCTTGATATTTAAAGCTGCTGATGTTTTAAACCAATTGTCTGTTGGAGTTGGCAGCAGAGTGTTCTTTTTATTTTTAAGATGAATCAATAGTTCAATGTTTTTCTCCAATACCCATCCCCTTTTTGCTGTAGTTGTGGGCGATACTTCTCCACATAATGACTTATATGGTATATAATCTGACTCGGAGAGGTTTGCATTTCATATTTCAAGATGAAACGGCTGGTCAAACTCTATTTTTATTCACACTTTTAGTATGACCAACAACTTTTACTTCCTTTTAATCGCACGTTCGTTGAAACCCACTGCTTATAAACAATTACAAGCTTCGAAAAAGCACTTATATTTATGTGGGTATTTACATTTTGCTTGTTTACTTTCCACTAATTAATTTTTAGTCTCTATTCTGAAAATTGATTTTTCTTGCAGCCTCGAGACTGTGCTGATGATTCCAACCGCCAAAGTGACATGGTTTACTCGAAAGCCTCTTGTCCCAGACATGTCAGCTTGCCAGCCTATGTGTCATCAAGTGAGTTTCTTTTCCCTCATACAAGTTATAGCTATCGCATACATTATATCAATTGATAGTCTATCTAAGAATGGCAATCAACCATGGTATCAAACAAGTTGCCTCTACCAGGCCAGCTTCGAATGCCGTATTCTAGATGTTTCATTATGGTTATGATATAATAGTTTATGGTAATAACTGGATGGTGTATCTCTCTTTCCTTTTGGATCGATGAGCTGTTAAATTCTAAGTACATTACTTACAGCCAGTCAGTGACCATAAGAAATGGTTCAATCTATGTCGACAGTTCCATTCACTCCAGATTTTCCGAGTCCAAGATAGTGAATATGCCATGAGCTTTTGTTTTTCATGCATAACATTTTCTATTCTATTTGCAGGGCTTGAGAACAGTGGAACTGAAGTTTCATCCCCTACTCTGAAGTCATCTATTTAAGGACAGTGCTGATAACAGACCCAAGGTATCAATGTTCCACTCATGGCTCGTAGATGCCAAATGGATGCTCAAAATTATTAGTTGTATCCTACCTAGAATCAATTATTGTGTGCTGAGCACCTGCAATTACATTTGTGTTGTAAGCTATTTATAAATAAATTAATTTTTACAGATATTTGTATACAATATGTAACTGATACACTTGATAGCATCACTCATGTTTTCTGGTATGCAACATAAGCATATTGCTCACAACTGCTCAGATTCAGTATGTACACCACCTACAAGTCGGATTACACCCACTGGTGGTGAAAAAGAAACCACATAGGGTAGCATCAATTTCTATGCGGCAAATCTTGAAAAAGTTTCATCAAGCGCTTGGCAGGTGACCAAACTTACAGGTTTCCTCGTTCAGTTCGACAATTTTGACATGAAGTTGAAGTGAAAAGGTAAAGCAACTTCTCTCCATTTATCAAAAACCCACTTCAACCACAGAAAGAAGCAATACGTCGACAAGCGTTCCGGCAGGTCTACCTACATAACAACATAATGATCCAAAATTAGTGATATAAAAAAACCCAAAGCAGCAGTAGAAAGCAGCCAATCACCGGCCTTAGATTGTAAATCCAGTTTGGTATTTGACAAATCAAAATATTTTCACTGTCGTCTGGGTCAAAAGACTGAAAACTTGTTCGCCCTTTTTTTTTATGCTCTCTTTTCTTCTTGGACTTGAGTCTCTTCGAAGACCTCTCATTCTGAAAATTTGGGCACGTAGTCAAGAAAATTTTCAACTGTCCGTTGGACATCAAGATCAAGAAAGTACCGGGGCTCTGTAGCAACCGTTGCTGGTGACTGCCCATGTTTTCCTTTCCACACAAGTTCCCCCCAACAAAGGTCCCAATTCACAAAGGCAAATTGGGACACTGCCTTGGCCCCTTTTCCATGCTCGAAACCACCACTACTTGGGTTTCCTGAACTACTTACCAGTTCATCGATTCAAATTTGTGGCTGAATTTCAAATGCATAAAGCAATCTTTCACAAAGTAGACAATATATTGCTATGGGTAACTAGATATTTGGCAAGCTAAACCATTACCATGAAGATACAAACAGCTTGTTAAGATGTTTTGAACCATTTATAAACTAGATATTATCCTAAAAAATCGAGAAGCTTTACAGATCAGTCCAGAAAACTATGGTTTTGAAACAAACAAGGTACGGTTCTTAACATCATTTTGTTATGTTAAAGTTATGCAGGAAAAAAATAAATAAATAATAACTCTATAATAAACACCAGAATTATCTTTTATTTACTTTCAGTGTCTGCTTGTAATTGAATTTGAGGTACATATAAAATAAGAAGCTAAACATCAATCCTAATAAACTGGAAGCCGGCTGTATCAATCCTTTTCATCACTGCGTCTGATCAAAGCGCCTCTTCCTCACCGAATTTGAAGTATGTGATTTGTGATAATCAAATAATCATATGATCAACAGGCAAATGAGATATCTATCAATGGATGTAACAATAATACTTTTCTCCTGGGCAGTCTACAAACGACGCATGAATCACGTTTCATATACTTACATGATTACATGAAAGTAGAACTGAATCTCAAAGCTCTTTATACCAAGGCAGAGAGAATTTTCAGGATGAGAAGTTGACTTGCCACTGCAGAATTTCTCCAACATGTAACTTTTCTTGGCTATAATAGGTCCCACTTTCCGTGGCTGCTTATCAAATATCAATTTGCAGAAGTTGTGCTGCATTCTTGGCTGTAGCTCACGTTGGCAGCGCGGGCCAATGGAACGTATTCCCGAAAGAGTGTTGCAAAGCCAAAGCCGAGCTTGGGATTGGCCTCCTGAAGACATCAATGACTGGATAAGTGATTCTAACTCGCTCAAAAGAGATTTTCTCTTCGTAGCAGATTCATCACTCCCATTGCCATCAATCCATTTTAGCTCACAGAGAAACAGCTGAAGCATTTTGTATCTGAAATTTAAAATATTTTCACCGAACACTGTCCCAAACAATTGCGTCTCAAAAAAATTAATAGAATATTGAGATGGAAATAACCGCCTATGTTTATTCATTTGAGACTATTAAAAAGCTTCAATGATTTAAAAAGTTCGGATATATTCAATTGAGACTTTTCAAAAAATCTTTAAAAGTTAAAAGTCTAGACATATACAATTGTGATTTCTTAATACTTTTAAAAAGTCTAAAAGTCACGAAGTATTCAACTGAAACTTTTAAGAAGTCTCAATAAATCATAAAGTATTCAAATAGACAGTGACTTGAATTCTCTACTTACTGGACTTCCAAAGACTTTATGGTGAAAAATATAAATATAAAATCTCAAAGAAAATATATCGTATTCTCTATTGTGAAGATTTCCAAGCAAAAATAAAGAATGTTATTTTTCTTTCAATTCTAGAATTTTCTAATCTCTTCAATTCATTCGATGATGATTATTTTGAAACGTACATAATTACTTTTGAATTGAGATTATATGCGATTAATTCAAAGCGTAGAGTTCCATGTAATCGATCTTTTCTTTTATCTTTTTCTTCTTTTTTTTTTTTAGAACAATTTTTGTTCTTAGAATTTATGTTAATTTCATGATTTTTTCTTTTTGTTATTTATTAGAAATAAATGTAAAAGTTTTTTATTATTTTATTTACGCCAAAATTAAATGACTGAGCCGTGACTGTGACTTTACCAAAGAAAATTTTGTAGCATCGTGGGTTTCGAAAATGTTAATAATAGTAAGAAAGATTGTAATTTTTTAGGTATATAATGAATTTGTAAGATAAAAAATCTTCAAATGTCCTTAAAAATATTTAATCAAAGTCTTTAGAATTTCATGGAATACTTTTATTAATTCTTAACAAATTCATAAAAGACACTTAAAAGTTCATAAAATCTACAAAAATCGCTCATTTAAAAAAGTCCATAAATGTTTTAAAAACTCTCAATTAAATTGACCCTCGTTCATATAGGTGTATCCATCCAACAACTAACAATAAGAGACAAATTCCTTGGCATTTCACGAGCCAAAGAAATCATATAAACAAGAACCAGCTAAAACCTCCACGATGATTCCCAACAACTGAATGAATTGCTCCTATTTATTTACCAATTGAGCAGGAAAAAAAATAAAGATTATGTTGGAATTGGTTCAAATAATTAACCAAAAATTGGAAAGGTGTGTAAAAGTGAAAAATGAAAAGGTGTGACTACGTGTCAACTTCGACCAAATATTTGGACTTGATCCGATGGTTAAATTATAAAAGTAAATAGATCAACTTATTCTATTCGTCGAGTAGATCGTTGTGGTATATTTGGAATATCGAAACAAATTTCGGAATGATGAGAAATTGTGGACTAAAATTGGAAGAAATGAAGTGTTGCAACTTTTCGAAATGATGCAGGTTTTGGCTCAGTGTTGCAACTTTTTGAAAGAATGCATGTTTTGGCCCACACTACTTCATTTGTACCCTTTCTACATCTATAAATAGAACCCTATGGACATGATTTTGGGTACACCAATTGCATTGAGCATTCATTCTCCTCTTGCAATTCTCTCATTTCTAATTTCATAGCATTTTCATGCATTTCCTTGGTAGAGAGAGAATTCCGTTCGAGTTCGTTGGTCGAAGCCATTTGGAGTGCTCCTATGGCTTGACTTGGTCGTTGTATCTTGGGAGATGATTGTCGAAAACCGTTAGCACCGATGCGGGGCAAATTCATCTTAAGGACCAAGTGTCAAACACTTGCCTCGACCAAAGATTCATTACTTGCATCTCTTCCTACAGTTTTCTGATTTCTTTTGATTATATTTTGATTTCGGGAAATGATTAACATTGTTTACATATTTATATTGTAAGGTTCGATCAAAAGAATAATTTACTTTCGTTCAAGAATCGAAAGGGATGAATCCATATCCATGCATTCAGATTCAGTAACTTTTATGTTTTGCTTCTCAAATTCTATTTTGGTAAGTTGAAATTACGTTTCGATTTCATGAAAATAAACGGTATGCTTTTATGAATATAATATGCACATAATCTGTGTATTCCCCAATAATCTTAAGATGAATTTTGTGTGATCTTTCTCGTGCGTTTATATTCACGTTCTAAAGTTGTATTGTGAAATCTTTGCTTGACATCCAATTTATTCCATAAACTATGGTATGTACTCTAGAATTGTGCAAGCAAATTTGTAAAGTTAAAAAAATTGGTTTGTGCACTCATATTGATGAAAAATATTAAATGGTGGCTATTTGAATCTTCATTCACCCATAGAGATATGCATTCTTCCATGACCCAGTGTGTATATGCTTTTATTATAGTTTAATGAAAGAGCACATTTTTTGATCGTTGAATGCATGTGGAAATTTGGTAAGTTACCCATTCAAAATAACTGACATACGACTAACAGATTTGTGCATTCCTACTGATTGTATTTTCCAAATCCAATTTCACATGTAAGTGGGTAATTAGGTAAGTTTTTTACGCACATGGCTGCATAATAATTGGTTCATTATTGTACAAATGCATCTGATTTGAAAACAGTTTTTTTTTTGGTGGCCGGTGGCCGGTGACCGGCGATCCAAAGGGACCCCTGTGTATTCTGTCCATTATCGATTATTACATAATACACTCCACTTTGCCTGAATAAATATATGCACATGTTGATAATTCAAATGATGGGTTTCTCATGTTAAAAACAGTTAATATGGCGTGATCCATTCGGAATTGTGTGGCATGATTTTATTTGCCTTGGTATATAAAGTGGCAACAAAATATGGAAATATGTGGACCTCCTCCATGAGACATTTTATATAATAAACTTATACAAATAAATGTATAAATATTTGGAATATTTGTTGCTATTCCTACACTTTGTTCATGATGAATTGAATATTGTTAAAACCAACTCGAGTCTAATAATGAATGGATGGAAATAAGGAAATTATTTCTAACCATTGGACGTATAAGGATGCCAATTATTTGATGAAAGTATATGAACTTTCATGACGATTCCTTTGATTGGAATATGATAATGGTATGATAAATTAGTTGGTCATATCTTATTGAAATTATACTAACTTTCACTATGGTGATAGCCTCAATTAATTTCATAAAATTAAGGGAGATGATTTAAGTGGATATCATTATTTAGTAATGAGCATTAAGCCACTTAATTATTTGAAATTGAAGAAAATTTTGCATGGAAAGATGTGTCTTTTCATATGGAGAATCATGACTTTTGGTATGATTAATTTCCAATGGGTGTATCTCTTTATAGAGATTAATTCAAGAGGTGTGTCATTTTATAGAATTGTGTCTTTTGAGAACACAACTTTTCAACTGATGGTTGAAATGAAACTATCATGTGAAATGTCACAAATGTGATAAGTTGCATATGTTTAAAGAAGTTGCAATACTAAGCCCTATTTATTGTTGAATTTGATTTCAATCATGAAACCAATTAAGTTGATATATGTTTTGAAAGCATTGCAGGTCTATATGATGACTTTGATTTAATTTGAATGATCAAATTAAAATAATTGGATTGAAGTACGTTATATGCAACTTTAATTGAAATAAATTGTGAGTCAACGACTGTTATTTTGAAAGTACTTAGACTTTCATGAAACACTCGATATGAATATTATCTAAGAGATAAATGAATAGAACTATGAAAAAGTTGCTGACTCTTAAGTTCATTTATAACCCAAAGATGTGGGGGTTATCATAAATGCTCGTGAACTTGAAATGGAAAGTTTAGAACTTGTGAATGCAACATTACTAGATAGCATATGTATTCCTAATTGAGGAATTGTGGGAGTAACTTAGTTTAACAGTTACGTTTGCTTCTATCTTATAATCATAGAACGATACCTATGAAGGTGGAAAGATAGAAAACCCTTATACTAATTATAAGGATGATATATATTAAGTTTAAAGTGGATGAAATGGATTGTAAAACCAATTATGGCGTTTGTTTAGACATACAAGAACAATTGGAATATATGAAGAATATTCATAAAGTTCGAATGCACTGTAATGTCTCAATGATGATATTGAATACCCATGATTCTGAAACTCACTTGTAAACATGGTTGACTAGTGTAATAATTAGATAGAAATCCTTCAATCTTGTTTGGAATTGATAAAGTTTCAGATAAATCTAATAAAAAGCATGTAACTTCATGAAATGATTTCTTGGTAGTGACAATTTGTATCTATTAAATGAAATCGATCGTTTGCTAGCAATAATTGATAAGATACTAAGTCACATGTAATGGTATGTCTAGACGTATAAGTCATAGACATAATACCATTAACCAATTGATCTCAATGTTGTAAACTCCTGGTACCTTTAAAGAGATTTACTAAGAGAGATCAAGAATACTGCATATCGAAAGGAATGAGGTAAAGCCTACTACGTTAGAGTCCTTGTAATGGTAACCCTACCTTGTTGACTGGAGATCCCAAAATCTTGGTTCAAAGAGACAACTAAGTTATGAGGATTCCACGAAACACTTAGGAAAATAATTTCCGAACTCATTCCTATGATATTAAAGTGCTTTCTGCAAAGTTACAAGAGGTTAGGATAATTTTTAATGATTCCTATATCTTGATTAAGTCAAGTGGAGTAGGGCAGAATACTCTTAATAGGAGGTCACCTATGTGAATGTGAAGTGTGGTTGCTTCAATGAGAATTATTCAAGGCTTAAATTCTCGAAACACTAGCAGAACCAAGAAGGGTTCAGGGCCAAAATGAACCAAGTCATGAGAACTATGAACGGTTTAGGAAAGACATTGTGTGAGTATCGTTGTCTTGGCTTACACTAAAGGCTAAATGGTTCAAGACATCACGTTCACCAATTAGCCGAGTAAGTCCGATGATATTTCACTAAGGGAGGTTCAAGGCCAGAAGCTACCTTCCCTGATGCAGTATTTTTTCGCACCCTCTCTACATTGCATCATATCATTGCATTTGCATATGCGTACCCAATTTTCATTTATGTGGGGGATTGTTGGAATTGATTCAAATAATTAACCAAAAATTGGAAAGGTGTGTAAAAGTGAAAAATGAAAAGGTGTGACTACGTGTCAACTTCGATCAAATATTCGGACTTGATCTGATGGTCAAATTATAAAAGTAAATAGACCAACTTATTCTACTCGTCGAGTAGATCGTCGTGATATATTTGGAATCTCGAAACTAATTCCGAATGAATGAGAAATTGTGGACCAAAATTGAAAGAACTGAAGTGTTGCAATTTTTCGAAATGATGCATGTTTTAGCCCACACTACTTCATTTGCACCCTTTCTACATTTATAAATAGAACTCTATAGACATGATTTTGGGTACATCAATTGCATTAAACATTCATTCTCCTCTTACAATTCTCCCATTTCTAATTTCATAACATTTTCATGCATTTCCTTAGTAGAGAAGGAATTCTGTTTGAGTTCGTTGGTCGAAACCATTTGGAGTGTTCCTGTGGCTTGACGTGGTCATTGTATTTTGAGAGATGATTGTCGAAAAACCGTTAGCACCGATGCGGGGCAAATTCATCTTAAGGACCAAGTGTCAAACACTTACCTCCACCAAAAATTTATTATTTGCATCTCTTCCTACAGTTTTCTGATTTCTTTTAATTATATTTTGATTTCGGGAAATGATTAAAATTGTTTACATATTTATGTTGTAAGGTTCGATCAAAAGAATGATTTGCTTTCGTTTAAGAATCGAAAGGAATGAATCCATATTCATGCATTCAGATTCGGTAACTTTTATGTTTTACTTCTCAAATTCTATTTTGGTAAGTCGAATTTACGTTTTGATTTCACGCAAATAAACGATATACTTTTATGAATATAATATACACATAATCGGTATATTCCCCAACAGATTATACAGAAGGAGAAACTCTTAAGATTTCTTTTGGAAACTCTCCGGCTTAACCTTAATCAATAAAAATGAGAAATTAACATATTCAAAGTTCACCAAGAAAAAATATTAAGGGAAAATTATTGGTAACCGGAATAGGATTAAGGGGCTGTTTGGGCTCGATTTTTTCACTCAAAAAATTGATTTTTTGACCGTTATTTCACTATTCCAGCCGTCATATTTGACTTCTTCTCTCACAGATGGACCCCACTTTTCTTCTAACGGTCAAAAAATCAATTCTCAAAATCACTCCCAAACAGCTTCTAAGCCTTTAAGGATGCATATGAGTGTTTGCTGTCAACCCCAATCCTTGTATACCTAAAATTGGAGGGAAAATCTTCTCCACAATTTGCAGGTCGCAAGGCTTGCGACTTGTACCGGACAGTAGCCTGAATTTTCTTTTGTAAGATTTGGCTAATATTAAAACGTTTTATTTACAAGTAATTAAGTAGAGTAGAGTTTAAGATAATTATCACTATTCACTCAGTTTTCTTCGGTTTTTTTTTTTTTTTTTTTTTTTTTTTTTTTTT